ACCACTTGCGATAATGCGTCACCCCGTCTGACAGCCAGTTTATTTTCGTGTATGCGCGGACCTGTGTAATTTCGAAGACAGTTAATAAATGGTAGACGATACACTACGCCGGATGATACAACAAGCTGTCTTAATAGCGACCGAGCTCGAATTGAATTCGCATCGAATCCCTATCGAACTGCATTAATCAGTTACAATCAGCGCGCATGCCGCACGCTTACATGTCAGGATTCAAAGGCTTTGAAACCTTCGACAGTCGAATTATGATTTGCTCCTCACTGATGTCAAGGCAATAAACAGTCGTCTGGTCTTCCACTCAAGCATTTTTGTCATTTCGTAAAAGAAGGAGTCTACAGTTTTATACCTAATCGGATTCTCAGCCATCTACACCTCTTTCCCACCCATGTAAAATATTTATTTCGAACCTTTTGGAACTTGTATGGTTCAGCTATTACGGGATCCGTCGCCTACTTAAAGTCTACTTTTTTCGGGATAACGTTAAATCAGGCTCCGTTGCTTTCTACATTAAGTACCTTCGGCCACTAGTGTTTCTAAAAACGTAATTTATACATTGAGACCGCTTCATATTTTATCTAACAACCCTAGCTGTCCACAGGTCCTGATCCGCTTTTTGGCAAAGCAGAAAGTCACCTTATATAAGCTCGTATGGTCAAACTTGGGACTAAATTTAAAACCCGTTTCTGAAGTGTAACTTCAGTAGTTGTGAAAATGACCGCAGCCTAACAACCTCATCCAAGAACGTGCCTACCAGGTTAGAGTAGAAGCAATTATTTGTGCTTTTCCCTTTCTCCCGTTCATCTTTCCTTCCATCTCACTTCGTGCCGTTGTTTGACCCCAGTTCAGACGTTGATTGAGCCCCTGTGTCCCCGATCTGCGTAAGAACATAAGCATGACCCTTTTGTTCCTCGTTAGTTTTGCCTTTTTTATGCTGTTTCCGTTGTCGGTGCATGCTCGTGTCTCTTTTTGTGTGCTTGTTAGCATTTTTGTGCATTGCTTGAGCCTTATTTTACGTTGGCTTTTGCTTGAAACTGCCTACTGCATGCACCTCACTTCCCACGGTTTTGTGACTTTCAGGTCAAAAATCCTTAAACTTGAGATGAAAGGCAAGAAATTGAAACTGGTGGTCGCTGACGAGGACGAAACAAATGTGAGTTTCTTTCGTCCTAAACAGCCTATAAGTTTGCAAGGCAATTTCTTTTTTTTCTACTGTTTCTACTGTGATGACAAGTTGTCAGCCCCGATAGTCTGTATTTTGACGGGAACAAAATAATGCATTCGTGAATATAAATAGTATGAAAAAGGTATCCCTAGAATTGCGGATTTGACATTCAATTTTCCCTATGGAAACCGATAAGAAGATAAGCGGATAGTCACCCTCCCCGCCTCCCCCGAGGCCGCTAAACTCCGAACTGTGATATCAATGCAAACTCCGGTGGGGGGAAGTCCGTTTAACTTCGAGTAAACGGCCAAGTTGCGTATACTTTCCGAGCACCGTTCATCTATCCACTTTTTCTCCAAAACGCCTACTTTCATCGTGGAGTCGGTTTCCAACATGCGTTAGCGTTCGTGAAGCATTGGTCACCTGCATCTCATTCTTGCGATGCATGTACCAAAAACTAGTCTTGTTGTGTTGATACGCCTCTCTTCGTCCGTTTGGCAACCTGGCATTTCCAGGAATCGCAAATTGTTATTGTCTTTTCGCCCCACGCCATCGTGCAGTGATTTCCCAGTAAAAAAATCTACCGGAAGGTAGCATTTAGAGGACAGTATGAATTCTGTGAACCGATTACCAAGTTCCCAAAGCAAACGGTGATCGGCGTTCTGATCAAATACTCTTTGCCTACCCACGAGAGCTTCCGTACACTGTGAAATGCGGCTTTAAACGGCGCCACATGTGTGACTTTTCGTCGCGTCGTTTTGTTCCCCACGAGTTAAGTCCAGTTCAGTTTGCTCATGTGTTTACCTGTTAGGGTTCTCCGAGGAAATTTGAAAGCTTCGGTGACATCCGAAGCCGACTAGCAGCTCCTTTTAGGCTTCGCGAGGCGTTTCTGCCGAGCCACCAACTAGATGAGCGGAGGGCACTAGGTATATATGCGTCCACGAAGCAGGATGTCGTCGTCCTAGCCGTCCAGCGGCCCATAGGACACTTGGAGTTGGTCACTTCACCCGTACTGTTACACTGGTCATGTCAGACTTCGACCCCACTTAGCAGAGTTCCTTTTATGAGCTTGAACTTTGCACACTGGCGTTCTGCTCTCTGTTAACACCCTTAATGAGGCACGTTTGCATACGGCTTCGACAAAAAAGTCTCCGTGTTCGGTAAAAACTGCCGTCTAGAAAAGGGTAATGAGTAAAACCGTAAGGTTTTGGCACCTGAAAAAAAAACTATATTCAGGAATGTTTATTAAGAACTTACCATGATCAAGCCGCCATTTTTCGACGCTCCTTAGCTCGAACCTTCGGGAGCGTTGTATCATGCAAACTTATCCGCACACGTCAAGTGACTAGATGAAAACTTCTCAATCAACCTCAGTTATTTGACGGCGAAAATGTCAGTAAGTAGAAAGTTATGCTTAAACTACGCTATGCGTCTTGGTGGAAGCCGTAATAAGACCACGTGCTCAGTAGAAGTGGTTTCGTCTTCCCTGTCTGTGTGCATAATCCTACACGAGATAGATGAGGTGGGTCAACACGATGGCTAGGTCTGGGCGAACGAGCACCCATAGCAAATGTCACACTTGAAGGTGTGTTGTGGCGCTCCTAGGGGCAGGTTCACGCTGCACCAGCCATCTAAGTGTGTATTATGGCACTCTTAGGGGCAAGTTCACGCAGCACCAGCCACCTGAATGTGTGTTGTGACGCTCCTAGAGGCAGGTTCACGCTGTGCCAGCCACCTAAACGTGTGTAATTGCACGCCTAGGAGCAGGATCACGCTGCGCTAGCCACCTGAACGTGTGTTGTGGCGCTCCTAGGGGCAGGTTCACGCTGCACCAGCCATCTAAGTGTGTATTGTGGCACTCTTAGGGGCAAGTTTACGCAGCACCAGCCATCTAAATGTGCGCTGTGGCACTCCTAGAGGCAGGTTCACGCTGTGCCAGCCATCTAAAGGTGTGTTTTGCCACGCCTAGGGGGAGGTTCACGCTGCGGTAGCCACCAAAAGGTGTGGTATTGCACGCCTAGGTGCAGGTTCACGCTGCACCGGCCACCTGAATCTGATCTTGCCTCCGTTTTCATCGGCTCTGTCTTGACACTGAGCACAGGTGCATGAAATAGGGCGGGAGTGCGATAGGTGTGGTGAAAGTCTACTATCACTTTAAACGAATTCAGACGCC